ACCCAGTGCACCCTGCTGCAGGCATTGGGATGAGAAAACTGGCCCAATGTACCCAGCTACATGCTTTGGGATAAGTGCACACTACTGCAGGCTCGAGGATAAAGAATGGGCCATTTGCAACCTCCTGCATAATTGAGACAAGGGCTGCAGTGTTCCAATGGTTAGGCTGCTGGATTCAGAACTAATAGGTGCATCCTGGGACAAATGCTGTGGCATTAGCTAACCTATACATGCTGCTGAACCATAAAACGTTAATAAAAAAAAACAACCAAACCAACAGTGACAGAAGAAACCACCAACCACCGGGAGTCATTAATGCTTACTTATGCTTGAAACAGGATAGAACACAGGAATGCAGAGTTGCATAGCAAATGTTGTTTTTTTTCTGCATTATCCAGGGCACCATATTCCTTGCATTATTTCTGTAATTTTCATTTATTCAGCCTTAATATTAGTGGTCAGATAAAATCGCATATTGTGCATAAGAAAAATATGTGAACACGCATTAAAGTCATTTTCAGTAATCATTTGTAGACTATTGAAGATTTCCTCTTCAGAATATTGTTTATACAAATGTAACTGCTGTCTTTTTATTGGGTCTTAACATAATATTTTAATAAGATTAATGATGGACTGTTGGAGAAATGTATTCATCTTGGTTATTGATCACAGGTACCAAGTATTTGTAAGATAATCCTGTGACAATGAAAATTCTGCTAGTTCTGGGCCACATAACTATTTCCAGGTACACAAAAATTACATGGCAAGAGTGTCATTAACATTAGGGTACTGCATGAAAGTTTAAGTTCTTTCAGATCAGATTTAGTGGTGTTATTTAAAGCACAAAGAAAACTATTTTCTTTGATTCACTTGTCATCCTCATTTATTATGATTCTCAACCTAATAAAGAAAATGTTGATGTCATTTTCCACTAAAATTTCATAAAACTAGCTCTGCATAAATAAAGATTTTTTTTCTTCTCAATATGAAAAGAAGAATAATGTATGTCCTAAATTTTCAATTCAGAAAACCTATGCCGACTACAACCTTTTTGATCTCCTTGACATTCATCTTTTGCTGGCACCATCATGTCTGGATTCCTTCCCAACTCTGAAAGCCTTCCATGAGGAGATAGCCAGCCGACCAAACATCAAGAAATACAGAGACACTGATGCCTGGAAGAAGCTTCCAGTTAATGGCAATGGAAAACAGTAAATCACCAGAAAAGACGTTGAATAATAGAAAAATATTCATAGACAGTAGAGCAGATGTGGATGGTAAATCACCAGAAAAGACATCAGACAGAAAATAATAGACAGTTGGGTAGATTTGGATGCTTTCCCCAAGTACTACTGTAAAAGTATTTCGGCACCATGAAGTTTAACAGAACCTTTAATTTGTGTGTATAAGATTTATAAACATGTATTAAAGAAGTTATCACAAGGTAATAATGGTTTTAGCCATTTATACAAAATAATACATATACTTTCCACATAAAACTAACCAACTTCAATGCAGGTGAACACTGATGAAATTAAGTGTAGTCAACTTTATTTTGAAACTTGCATAACTTTTATCACTGTGTGCATTGAGGTAAGTTTAAATAAAAATGTCAAAAACAGAAATTACAGGATTTCTTTAAAACAAACCCACTGTCACATTTACTGAAAAAGTTGTGTTTTCATTCATTATCATTTTTGTTCATCATCAGATATTGTGAATTTATTTTCAGATTTGCAAAGTTTGAGTTTAAAAATTTTTTTTGAGAAAATGCTACTTTTTTATTTTTTGCTTTTTCATGTATACATTATTTTGTTTCTGCATTATGTCTATTTTGAAATGTTTCACTCTGCTGGAAGATGCTCATTAGTTTAGTGTTTTACTTAGTTTAAAAGTTTTTATCTTTAGTTACCAGTGACCTTACTGACGATAAAATTTGCTGTCAAAGGGTGATGCATCTCGCATCTTTAAAGGTGGAATTTTACTACTTGTATTCACTTCTGACAGAAAGACCAAAATAAACTTGTATAACTGTCAAGATGGAGTTTTCTTTTTTATCTCTTCATACAGCATATTATCACAGCACTGTTTTCTACTGATACCAAGTTTGTTTTTGTTTTTTTCAGAACCATTGCTTTCTGTCATTGTTTTCATCATCCTAACATCCTATTTACAGAATCTGTTTCTTTCACAAATGACAGTTTGGTCACTTGTTCTTGACATGTCAACCACTCCTGTGGCCTAATGATTAGAGTGTCACCTTGGATGCGGGAGGTCGTAGGTTCGATCCCTAGCTGTGTCATAACAAAGACTCATAAAAATTTTGCTAACAGCTGCTCGCTTGGCGCCCAGCAATTAAGAGGCTCGTGTTAGGACTGGTCGGCTTGGTTTCAGGATAATGTGACTGGGGGGGACATCATGCCACATGTCTATGGCATGATGCCCCAGTGCTTGACTTCACTATAAATTTCCACACTGCAGACATTGTAGCTATATGACTGAAAATTTGTTAAAGCTACATTTAAAAAATCCAAGTCACACACATAAATCTACCTAGCAAGTCTCAAGAACACTGCTGGTATGTTTTTTTGTGATGATTCCTGAAGACCCACAAGTTAGCCATATATACTTACAAGTAGAATCAAGTTGCAAAATGCACAGACCCAGATTTGCTATTGCATATTGTGCCAGCAGATCTGGATCACTGAAATTTGTTAGGAAAAAGCAATAAAAAATTGACTGATCTGCCAGCATTAAGTAATGGAATATCAGGAACTATTATTTGTAGTTGAACCCTCCTTCAAAGAAACATTTACAGGGCTATTTTAAGAAAAATTGGTTGGTTTTTGTTTTCCTTAGATTACATTTTCCTTGAAACAAAGGACTTCTTCAGGCTAACATAACAATAAAATTTTCATCATATAACATCGTGCTTGTTTCATGTTTAGGGGTTGGTACTAAATCAGTACCCATTAAAAATTTATCTCTTCATGACACTAGTTTATCTATCAACTTTTATTCATTCATCTTAAAATAACTATCAATAACATAATTTATGAAATTAAATTATTTAATAAAAGTATTTCAGCTATAATTGTTCATAATTATTTAATTGAAAACAAAACTAATCTTAGAATTACAATGATAAATTTCATATTTTGTCTGTAAAGAGCATTTAGGTGCAAACTTAAAACTTAAATTTTGCAGGTATCTAGGTTTTAATAATGAGGGTCATGTGATCCCTTTAGAAAGAGGAAGAGGGCAACCAAGCAAGATAGGGGAGCACAGTGTTATTATGATAAACTTGTTCGAAATGAAAAATGGATCAAGAAAAATAATTGGGCTACAGTCTATATGCAGACATTGCTGTGTGTGTGTGTATATATATATATATATATATATATATATATATATATATATATATATATAGTGTTATCAACCTCCCAACTACCATATATACTTGCAAGACAAGTCCAAGTGCAAAGTTAGATCATGATTACCATCACATAATTTACTGGCAGATTAGGATCTGTTAATTATTTTGCTTATTGCTTCTCACAAACTGCATAGATGTATATAAGCAGATGCAATATGCAACAGCAGATCTGAGTTTGTGGTTTGCTGTTAAGACTTGAGTATATACTGTGAAACCAAGCATTGTTAAAAACTGAACTGAAAACTTTTACTCATAAACTTAATTGTATCTATCTTACCTTTGTTCCCTTACTCCCCAACAATGAAATAAACAAAAGATTTTTAAGCTAATTTGGATGTTGGGATCAGCATTATTTTCATGTGTCATTTCAAATACTTGCAGTGAATGTCCATTTAAAATTCAGTCCTGTATTGATGGGAACAGTTCGATTTTCACAAATAATATTTCGTTGTTTTGTAATCTTTTGCAGTTACATTTCAGAAGCTAAACATTAGTAACACTTGATACTAGGCTAGCATCAAAATTCATCCTTGCTGGACTGATTTCAGTTTTGTAACTCATGAGCATCTTCATGGTCACTTAGGTGCTTACACTTAGCAGAGCAGCAGAACGAGTTGCACAGTGAATCAGACTCAGCAGCTTTATTTCCAGTATTCATTTATGTGCAATATTCCAATATTCTTTTTGCGTTTCCATGTAAAAATGAAGTATACTGTACTTTCATGTACCTATAAATATAGAAAAGGGGTTCAGATCAGCCTGTTAAAGCATCAATTGATAGGTGCTCAGCATTATGAGGTTAGTGTTAGGACTAGTCAGCCTATTGTTGGGATAATGGGACATATCCTTCATGTCTGCGTCATGATGTTCCAGTGCTAGACATAAGTTTAAATATACACACTGCAGACATTATAGCAATATGACTGAAAAATTGTTAAAGCTACATTAAAACTCCAAATCACACATGCACACTCTGTAATATTTGCAGAGATGATTAAAAAAGAGGTACAACATTAGCATTATGAAACGATGACTTCTGCATCAGTGACAAGGACATGTTGACTAGGAATATATCAGTTGCCTCACATATGTTGTAACTCTTGCTGACCAAATGTAATTGTCATATTCTCAAAAGTGACAATATCATTCTAATAACAATGAATTAATAATTGCAGTTGAAAGAAAAACCAGTTTATGAATACAGTGAAACCTGTTAATAGTGGTCATCCATTAGGAAATTGTAGCCAAGCTGGTACATGTATACGGGTGATCTCATATGAAGGTTCACCTTTCAAAATTGTTTTTAAACAAATACCATTGACTCATTATCATTATCTGTTTTATCCCAGGCAGGATAACTATCAATTAAGTCATCGTACATGTACTACTGAAGAGGATTTAAAGCTAGATCTAGATTAAATCCAAAGTTAATGTTGTTGTTCTGGGGCTTAACACCATTTTTCAGCACACAATAAGCTATATATTGCGGCCAGTATTAATAGTGGAGGAAGAAACCGGGAAAACCGCGGAAAGAAACGTCAACCCACAAGAATCCAAAGTTAAAGATCTGGTGACCTAAGTAGTTAGAGTGTCTGCCTTGGATGCAGGAGGTCATGGGTTTGAACCCTACTTGAGTCATACCTTGTCAAAAATGATACTGTGACCTCCTAGCATGGTGCTCAGCATTAAGAGGTTAGTGTTAGGACTGGTCAGTCTGGTGTCGGAATAATATGACTAAATGGGACATAATGTTACATGTCTGCAGCATGTTGCCTCATTGCTAGACATCAGTATAAACTGCACAATGCACACATGGTGATATGACTAAAAATTGTTAAAACTACATTTAAAAATCCAAATCACACACACAAATCCAAACTTAATAACATTCAACAAAACATTGTCTGATTTCATCCAGCAGTCAACTCATTGCACAACTGGAATGATCACTGCAATGTCTTTAGTACAGATAATTAACTTCTTGTACAGGTAAAGAGCCTACAATACTTCAGAATATCCTTGATAATGGAAATGAAAGAGTTCTAAGAGTGATGTAAACCAAATGTTTAGTAAATACCAATTTTAAATACTTTTCATGTAATAAAACTGGTTTTTAACATATTTTATCTCCCGTAAAATGTGAATTTGGGACTTAATGACATTAAGTATGCCATATTTTATTTCGACAAATTTCTAAAGGGATTATGGAAGCTTGAAGATGCTTCAACATTAAGAACTCGGAGTTACTTCAACGTGATAATGTTGCCACATTCTTTTTGATAAGGGTATACATTATGATGATTTGTTGATACACTCAAAGACAACATGAATGTTAATCAAGGATTAAAGCCTGTTTTCTTATTTATAACTCATTGACACCATCTCTGATATTCCTGAGAAACTCCAGGTCAACCAGATCTGTTACCAAAATCTTTTCTTGTGTTCAAGTTATGTTCTAAAGATACCTGTTGGTGCAGTACAAAATTCTTTATCATGATCTTTGACCTTACACCTGATAGTATCAATAGAAGATCGCTGAATTTTTACCAGGTAATGCCAAGATATAACTATATGCTGAGTTTGTTTACTCATTAACTAGATAAACCAGATGTTATGTTTGGTTAAACCTATAACCATATGTCAAGTTTGGTTAACTCAATAATTAATATTTTGGGGGAAGAAATGAAACTATTACAGTGATATCATTAAAAATATTCTTCAGTTACATCCATTAACTAAAGGATAAAAAAAAAATCCATTCATTTTTGATTGTATTACCATCCTTACAAGCCAGTACACCTTACACCCCAAGTCATGACTTTTGAACTTAAATTCACTGTCAGAGTGATAACTATCAACTTGTTCATTGGACTGCAACTAAATACAAAGTCTGATCCGAATTCACCTGTAAATGTACAATCTCATAGTGTCCATGAGTTTTATAAAGAATACACTAGGAACAACTTTTAAGCAAAGGTAAATTAGATCAGTTTTCAAAAAATGTGGTTATGTTTAGTTGTCAGATCTGCTCCATTTTTATTAGAAACAATGCAAGAAGTGTTACAGTGCAAGCCCCATGTCAATCCCACCATACATACAGGAGGAGTACTAATAACATAACCACTATCATCCAATGAGCACCACTTTTATTCAAAACTAATTACATTTTTGCCCCATTGTAATAGTGTCATGTCAAATCCATCCATTTAGGAGAAAACAACAATTTCATTATGGTATTATGGTCATCAAAGCAGTGAATATGGAAGTTTTCTATATTGCAATAAAGAAGGGTGGGTATGTGAGGAAGTTTGCCTGTTGCTTCCCATGGTCAGTGGTTATTTTCAGTTTTCCCAGGTTCTTCCTCCACCAGTTATACTAGGTGTCGTGTATAGCTTATATTGTGCTGAAAAAATGGTGTTAAACCCCATAGCTACAAGAAAGATGTATTTTTTTAAATTAAAATGTCAATCAGGCACTCACTTAAAGCAGTCGTAAAGCATTTCAGATTTGAGAGTACACTTAGCAATACGGAAAACACTTAGCAATAGCGGAAAACTTTGTGTCAATAAGACCAACCTTAAAGAAAAGTAGAGATAATAAGATTTTCAAGATGGTCACCCCTGCAATCATGTTTGAGATCTAATCAGCACAATTTTCATTTAGGATCATATGGATATAAGATGTCTTCTAGTGAAAACCTAATTTCTATTGGACAATCCTATCTGTTCAGCAAGAAACAACTATAAAAAGATTTTCAAGATGGTTGACACTGGCAGTCTTTTTGAACCAGCTAAACAATAGCACTATCTGATATTTTGTTACACCTTATTGAAAACTCTCCAACTTATGGAGAAAAAAAATCAACTGCCTTTTAAGAAAGCCTTAATAGGGTAGGCAGGTCGGATTTATACATACATTCCAAGTTTGATCAAACTCCAATTAAATGTATGACCTCCAGAGTGGTGACACATTCTGCCCATGGCATGCAAGATCCAATCACAAGTATGCATAGATCTTGCAGATTACTAAACTCCTCCAAGATCTTCATGATATAAGCACACATTCCAAGCTTGATCAAAATCGGATTAAAATATGGCCACCAAGTTATTGTTGCCAGATAGACAATGTATGATAGACACATGGTTATCACGTAAATTCACAAAACCCTTATGGACATGTGAGTTTGTAAACAATATTTTACTGTATTAATCCAGGTGTGGCTTCTTGGTGAGAAGGAATGTTTAGCAGTTAAGACTTAAAAAAATGTAAAACTGGCATAATAAACTTTAATACCAAATATGCATATACAGGCCTTAAGGTATTTTCAAAGCACAAAAAAGCATGTATGTGTGTACAAAAAATACAATCATTTGGCTTTTTATTTAATTTGTTTTAATTTTGTTATTTCTTTCTTGCTGTCTTTACTTTCTTTAGCCAATGATTAACAGTATGCTGTTCAACCTGGTTGACTTGCATAATAAACTATATATACAAATAGTTATATGATATATTTCACTAATGGTAAATGCAAATAACAAATACATATATAAATAAATCTGCCACTAATCTTAAAAATAAACTTATATGCTTATTACATGAAGTTTACAGTATATGGCCAAACAATTTCATGTCCTTCTGAAATCTGACACCTACATTATAAATTTCTCAAAAACACAATATTACTCATTGATACATGTATAACAAATACGGAATTGGTTTGGGGCTGTTCCATTAAAATATATATGGTACCCAGGGAAGGCAGTTTTTTTAAAAATATATGCCAGGGTACATTGATTCAGAGTTCATATTAAAATGATAAAAAAAATTATAAATTGCATCTGTGAGTATCCCACTTTAAAAGTGCCTTCCCTGGGTACCATGTATGTTTTAATGGAACAGCGCTTATAATAATGGTTAAATGGTAGAAAAACAATAATATATCCAATCACACTAACTCTCATATTAAGTCAGTTTTTTGAGTGAAATAGTCATGCTGTTCTCTTTATTTGCCAGTATTAAACATAGAAACTCACTTATAAGTTAGGTCCAAGTGTACACAGCACAGACCCAGATCAGCTATTTCACAATGTGTCAGCAAATAAAGGTCTACATTGTTTATTCTACTGTTTATTCCTGACAAACTACACAGACCCAGATTGTCCATGCAATATATGATAGCAGATCTGTATCTATATAGTTTATTGTTGAACATTGCTTCTATGTGACTAAAGATGGTAATTACATTGAATTTCACTTTAGTTTTGAATAAGTTTAGTCATGAAGTACTTCCAATTTGCAATTTTTCACATTCAACTGAGAAGCAACAACTAAATAATATTTAAATGAGATGGTATGCACTGTATTGAACTGAATGAATCAACAATAAGAGCTACACAGCAGTTGACTGAGCAGTATAATCTTTGACAAATATTTGCATAACACTTGGTTGAACATAGTATAATATGTACAATCAGTTGGTTGAATGTGGCATAGCATGTATAATGAATTGGTAGATTCAGGCATAGCATGTACAATCAATTCCTTAATGTGGCATAGCATGTACAATCAATTCCTTAATGTGGCATAGCATGTACAATCAATTCCTTAATGTGGCATAGCATGTACAATCAATTCCTTAATGTGGCATAGCATGTACAATCAATTCCTTAATGTGGCATAGCATGTACAATCAATTGGTTGAATGTGGCATAGCATGTACAATCAATTGGTTGAATGGGGTATAGCATGTACAATCAATTGGTTGAATGTGGCATAGCATGTACAATCAGTTGGTTGAATGTGGCATAGCATGTATAATGAATTGGTAGATTCAGGCATAGCATGTACAATCAATTCCTTAATGTGGCATAGCATGTACAATCAATTCCTTAATGTGGCATAGCATATACAATCAATTGGTTGAATGTGGCATAGCATGTATAATGAATTCCTTAATGTGGCATAGCATGTACAATCAATTCCTTAATGTGGCATAGCATGTACAATCAATTCCTTAATGTGGCATAGCATGTACAATCAATTCCTTAATGTGGCATAGCATGTACAATCAATTCCTTAATGTGGCATAGCATGTACAATCAATTCCTTAATGTGGCATAGCATGTACAATCAATTCCTTAATGTGGCATAGCATGTACAATCAATTCCTTAATGTGGCATAGCATGTACAATCAATTGGTTGAATGTGGCATAGCATGTATAATGAATTCCTTAATGTGGCATAGCATGTACAATCAATTCCTTAATGTGGCATAGCCTGTACAATCAATTCCTTAATGTGGCATAGCCTGTACAATCAATTCCTTAATGTGGCATAGCATATACAATCAATTCCTTAATGTGGCATAGCATGTACAATCAATTCCTTAATGTGGCATAGCATATACAATCAATTCCTTAATGTGGCATAGCATATACAATCAATTCCTTAATGTGGCATAGCATGTACAATCAATTCCTTAATGTGGCATAGCATATACAATCAATTCCTTAATGTGGCATAGCATGTACAATCAATTCCTTAATGTGGCATAGCATGTACAATCAATTGGTTGAATGGAGTACTGCATGTACAATTGAATGAATGTGGCAAAGCATGTACAATCAATTGGTTGATC